TCTCCTGACACGTTTCTCTCCTCGTGGTCTTCGACTAACAGTAGCACAATTTCCGCCAGCACCCTGTTTGTCAATAGCACCGGTGGCTGTCGTTGTTAACCCGGGCCTCGACCGATCCAGTATGGTTTCACTTTAATGAACTCGCATTATGGTTTTGGCAAAAGTGTTTTACATTGGATGCCATTCCTGACACAACCCTCACCATTTACCCGGGCTTGGGACCGGCACAAGAGATACACTGGCTTGTGTTCCCTAGTGGCTGGTTTGTGGCAAAATTTTCAGTGGCAAAAACTACAACAGCTATATTTACTAAAAGGATAAGGCCAAATGAAATAAATCTTAAGATGTATGGGCAACAGTTGGAAATAGTGGAGTCATTCAAATCTGGGGATTTTGTTTGATAAAAAACTTATGTGGGTAAGTCATATTGGAAAAATTATTGGTAAATCCAACAAAGTTCTCAATACCATGACGTGTCTTAGAGGTAAAGAGTGGGGTGTAGATAGGCATGCGATGAAAACATTATATATAGCTCTGGTAAGATCAATTCTGGATTATGGAATTATGGAATATAGATTATGGATAAGTTTGCTAAAGAAGCTATTAAAAAAGTAGAAATTTCTTTATCAATCTCATACAGCAATTCAGAAATAAAATCTATTGTAAAGAAAGAAATGAAAAAGAAATGGCAGGAGGAATGGAACAAGTAGCAGAAAGGGAGACATTTTTATTCTATTCAAAAAATTGTGAGTAGGATGCGGGAAACATCAAGGAGGAGAAGGGAAGAGGATATTTTATCAAGACTTCAATTTGGTCATACATATTTAAATTCTAACCTAAAAAGAACAGGAAAACATCCTACAGAAATTTGTGAATGTGGCCAATCACAGGAGACAAACATGTACTTATGGATTGTATAAAATATAGAGAAAGACGTATTCTTCAAAATTGATTGTATGAGAACAATTAAACAATTAAACAATTAAACAACATTAAACAATTAAATTTAGTTTAATGCATTCGCTTAAATTCAAATCTCATTTTAAGTAGGGCATTTTTTCAGTTTCTTGTAAAATCAGAACTTGTCAGTAGAATATAGGTTAGGGTTTTAATTCTGGTTCACACTCCAGTTCAGAAGGTGGCGGTAATGCAAACTCAAAGCTGTTTGCCAACCGCCAATAAAATCAAAGAAGAAGAAGAAGTTCACCGTTGGAGCGTTGAGTCGCAATGGTGACTAAACCAACAAACCCTGAATAATTCATATTGTTCAGATACTTACCTTTATCCTGCTTCTCTTACAGCTTGGCCCTGTTCTTCATGTGCTGTTATACTGTGCTATTTCTGTGTCTCTTGCGTTCAGATCTGGGTTCTGGTAGTGCTTAAATGCAGTGGTGGGATGTAGCTAAGTACAAGTACTTTGTTACTGTACTTATGTACATTTTTCATGCATCTGTACTTTACTTAAGTAGAGTTAAACGTGGGTACTTTCTAGTTTTACTCCACTACATTTTATATTAAGCATCTGTACTTTTTACTACACTACATTTCTATAATGTGTTGAGTTACAAGTTACATTCTCGTTACGTTTTTTTGATTTGTTTGTTAGTTTGAAAGTAACTAATGGTGAGAGGGGAGTTGGTCCATTGAATCACTGCAAAGTGGGCAGTTAACATTAGACCCGCCTTCAAGAAGAGCTGGTCCAATGATGTATATTCTTGTATATACTTCATGGAGCTGGGAGCACCCACAGCACCACTAATACACCCAAAATGGATTCCACCGTGGAGAGTCATCCAGAAGATGCACGCCACCCATGGCCTTTGAAAGATTATTGAAAGACTATTGAAAGATTATTGAAAGATTATTCAGTACAGAAGGACAGATTCTCTCTCCCAAAAGAACCAGACTGGACTCAAAAAACTTTGAAAACCAAATTCTTCTGAACCTGAACAAGAAATTTTTGCTGCAATATTAAAACTTGTCAGTTCATGATGTTAGGACAGGAGACAAGAGTTGTCTCCAAATGGGTCGACCAAATTTTGAAAATGTGTCAGGAAGTTAAAATATTGTTCACTATTGACCCATTACAAGGTTGACTAGACAGTATTGTAACTAGCGTTGATGACAAACTGGAGTTGAAATGATCAGATATTCCTTTGTTAGGTCTGTCTAATGCTCCTTTTTTCAAGCAAACAACTTTTACTTAAATGTTTTTACTGCAGTTAAAAGGACACATTGGTTTTGCTTTGTGTTAAATAAAAAAATTCAAAGGTATATTGGAGCACAAGTTATGAGTCGTCAGAACTGTGTACCACAGAGCAGACAGCATCCCCACTAACTCAGGAGCCAGACAGAAGGAGAAATCCTACACAAGACAGGCTCTAGAGCAATGTGGATATCCTAACTGGACCTTCCTGAAAGCAGAGAAGAAACCCAAACAGGACTCCATTCAGCCATCAGGTGAAAAGGAGGAACCCAGACCCAGACCAGTGGTCATTCCGTATGTTGCAGAAGCTGAGACGTTTATTTTCTAAACGCAACGTCCCAGTGGCTTTTATACCCCAAAATACATTACGGCAAAGACTGGTTCATCCCAAAGATCCAGTCCCCCGGCACAAACAGAGTAATATTGTGTATGCTGTTCAGTGTCAGAAGGGTGATCAGTCTTACATGGGGGAACTAAACAGCCACTGGCCAAAAGGTCCAGCACAGAAGATCAATATCATCAGGACTCTGCGGTCTACACTCATCTCCAGGTCAGTGGTCACTCTTTCAGGGATGAAGATGTTCACATTTGATAGAGAGGAACGATGGTTTGAGAGAGGAGTAAAGGAGGCCATCTTTGTGAAAATAAATCGTCCATCGTTAAACAGGGGTGGAGGCCTCCGGGATTCAACTGTCCCCCTCTTACAATGCTGTGATTGATAGTATCACTCAGCCCTCTGTGAACAGTAAACAGCCATCAGTGTGCTAATGATCCATTGTTAGGCTGATGGTCCTTCTTGAGCATGTGATCAGCTGGTTTTGGCTAACAGCAGCAAACTGGTTGATCCACTCTGAGAAGGTGCTATTTAAGAGACTGAACTGGACACAGCACCTCAGACTGAAGAAGTCTTTCAGATGAAAGACAAAGCGTTTCTACATTTTTTTTGTTTGTTTTGTTTTGTTTTATGAATGTCCAGAGGAACAGATTTAACTTTTTTAGATTTTTCTACCTGAATTATTGAGCATGCATCAGGATATTTCAAAGGTATATTCATTCCTCTTTTTTATTTTGCTTAATGGCATTTAACTCCACATGTCATCCCTGAAATTCTGACGCACAGAATCACAAGTCCAAGTGTGAACTGTGTCACAGGCTCAACACAATAAAAACATGCATTATCTGCAGCTTTGTTCAGTAAAATGTCTCAACACTATTACTGTATTACAGAGAATATACATACGGTAGGCACACTTAATGATATTGCAAACCACTGCATTAGGTAATACATTCAGCAAGTACTTTTACTTTAATACTTTAAGCATTTTTAAATGCAAGTACTTATTTACTTTTATTTAAGTAAAAACGTTAATGTGGTTCTTCTACTTTTACTAGAGTACATTTGTGTCTGTTTATTTGTACTTTTACTTAAGTACAGTGTTTGAGTACTTCCTCCACCTCTGCTTAAATGAACCAATTATGACTAAATTAACTTTGTATTTGTCCACCGTCATGAAAAGTGGTCAATCGTAATTTTGTTTCGTTTTTTTGGTCTGTGTCTGCTAAATATCTCATGGACCACAGTGTAAGCTGAAATGAGTCTTTCAGCAATCAATTGTATAATAATCAAGCTAAAATGTGGTGTGGTAGTAGCTAAGACTCATTTCCAACACATTCTCTGATCTCGAACAATTCATGTAAAATGGCAAAATATGGTGCTGATGTCATGAACCAGAGGCCGGATCGCAAACAACAACCACTGAGAGGGTTAAAAGATTTATTGTGAAATAAAGTAAAACTCTGGAGTAGGTCCGGTTCTGGGCTGGTTCCGATCTTCTGATTGGTAGTTCGTGATTGGGTAGTGTTGTAGTGGCGGGCTGCCAGTAGAAGTAGAACTGATGTTAAGGTCCACTGGAACGGAGTCCAACAGGCTTGCAACTAAAAGATAAAGGTTAGTAGATGCAGGGGGAAAGAGACTAATTGGGGAAATGAATCTGTGGGAATCAGATTCAGGGGTAAGGATAAGTCCGTGATACAGAATGAGCTTGACCTTTAATCCGTGATCCAAAAAAAAAAACAGTCAGAAGGGAAAGGCAGAGTTCATACCGTGAAGTCAGTTGTTCAGCAGAAGTATCCAGTACGTGATCCAAAAAGAGAGTCAAAAAACAAGAGCATGAGTCGGTACCTGATCAGATGAGCAAAAGCAGACGAGGGCTGAGGCAAAAGCGTGGTCGTGGTCAAGGCAAGGGTCATGAACGTGATGAGTCAATCAATGGAATGCTGGAAAGTCTACTGCTGATGAGACAGGATAGAGAATCTGGCCCAGACTGAGAGGAATGAGTGAGCTTAAGTACTGACTGGACCAGGTGGTGGAGCTGTGGGATAATGAGCGGTGACAGGTGACATGAGTTGAGTGATTACTGAGTGTGCAGCATGACAGAGGAGCTGACAGAGAGCAGAGCTATGACAGCTGAGCTTTATTTTCATGTTTTGTCTGAAAATAATATGCTGCATTAATGGAGATTCAGTCAGTTATTGAAACATTTATTGTTTCATTTAATGAATTTCACAAGTTTTAACAAAGCTCTGGGCTACATAGAACCACAATATTACACAACTCTGACAACAAGTAGATAAAGCAATTTATTATGTTTTTAAGGTATTTCACAGATCATCCATGCTTGCAGGTTAGGCATGCCTTTAAATCATTTGTATTGTCTGCTGCAAGTTTTCGTTGTTTGTTCTTAGTTCTAAGATGATAACTTACACGGTCATCAGAGAAACATCAATCAAGGCATTACTCTGATTTGATCATCATTCTGGTGGCCTTGGCTGAATAAGGTGCAGGAGGTTTCCAGGTGAGCCAGTGGAGGCCTGAAGCCCAACCGATGTGGTCACTAATAGGATGCCACTCGCCATTTAAAGCAGCAGAACCACACTTGCTGAACCACCAAGCACCACCTTCTGTACGGGTACAATGTGATTCAGCGATGTCACCGAAGATACATGGATTGCAGCCATCGTTGTCTCGGTCAGTGGTGCTGAAGCCATAGCCATTTTCGTCTACGCCAGGATAATCTCCACGGATGGCATCACCTTTGGACAGAGTTAGAAATGTTATATTTTATATTTTAAAATCTTACAAGGTCCAGTTGTTTGTCTAAAACCAAACATAAGAAAAATTACTGTTGTGTCAGAGGAAAGCTGGAACCTCATTGAGCCACATGTTTTTACATTTGATTTACATGTTTTATTTCAAAACCTTCCAATGAAAAAGGGTGAAACATTTTTGATTAGAACTTTTGTTAGAAATTTTGATGGGGACTGCCACGGCTATTTAAACATTTTGATTTGACTGTACTATGTGTTGGGGTTTGCTCTCAGCTACCACTATACCAAATTTCAGCTAAGTATGGCAAAAAAAAAAAAAGTCAATGAATTGTAGTCATTTTTTCTTTTAAACTATGGTGGCCATCTTAGATTTATTTATTTATTTATTTATTTTTTGGACACCATATGTAATGGGAGGCTTTCTCAGTTATAACCACACCAAATTTCAGCTCTGTATGTATAAACATAGTTGAGTTATATCCGTTTAAATTTCGCTTTGGTGGCCATCATGGATTTTATTGCAATTCAGCATTCACTGGACATTGCTCTCAGCTACCACCACACCATATTTCAGTTTATTATTTCTAAAAATGGCTGATTTAACCATAGCTCCTACCGTCAAACCAGAAATTCTAGTGCAAAGACAACAAAAATATAATGTGCATCTTAAAAGATGTGGTGTTAGGAAGAGTTTGATGACTTTCAGAGTTTTCTTCAGAGACCTCTTGACTCTTGGTCATGTGACCTCACTATGGCTGTTAGAGGATAAGAATCAGTGTTTTTCACTGAGAAAAATGGCACCATTTTTTGCAAATTACATTGCCATGGTAACTTGAAATGGCAATCAAAGTAAGAGCACATATCACGGTGCCGAGCCAATCGTTTTGATATAAAACTTGAGGTTCACGTTGCAGTTTGGACCACTTTAAAGAAGAAGGCCCTTTTCAGGTGGATAATAATAGGCAGCCTTTCTAGGAAGTCCCTAATAATGCTTTTGTACTGGTAGCCTTAATGCTATGTGTACCAGTTTTGATTTTATCAGTCTAAATTCTCTCCAGGCTTGATTAACTAAAACGGAGTGAAATACTGTATGCTCAAATACCTGCAGTTCCACTGTAAGCCCCAACTTGCAGTTTGTAAGCTGTCTGCTCATTTCCAAGTTTGAAGTTCTTGTACTCTGCATAGGCTGTGCCACCTTCAAAGTCCCACAGGTCCACCCTCAAAGTCCAACTCTTGTCTCTGCTGTTTGTCATGAGGAAAACCTGTTCCAGGCCAAGCCAGTGGTCATCTGAGGGATCAGTTATTCAGATCAGAAAAATAGAAAAAATAAATACATTTTTAAAGATATTATGTTAATGTAATACTGACAAACTAAACCATACAGGTATTTATTGTTCACATACCTGACAGGGATCCGAAACCAGATTTGTAGGCTGCCCATTCTCTTTCGAAAGACACGGATCCTCCACTGCGTCTTTGAAAAACAGTCCAGCCTCCATCAGAACGCATCTCACAGTACACCTGTAGAGGTCCAATATTATATTATATTGAATCAAGCTTGTTAACTTTACCATATTGTCATTAATAAACAAAAAGAGTAGCAAACAGTCCAGTTTATACCTTGAATGGAACTTTCCTTCCAGCAGGCTGGATGTTATAAGTTCCACTAGGAGCACGTGGAACCTGCTTTTTAATCTCTGTGCAGTCTATTTCCAAGAAGAACAAAAGTATGGTAAATGATAAATGGACTGTACTTATAGTGTTTTTCTATCGTATCAAGATACTCAAAGCTCTTTACACTACAATCTGTGCCCTCATTTACCCATTCATACAGCACTCTACTAGATCTCTACAAAGACTAATCAGAGTTTTATCACATTCGTACACTGATGGGACACATAGGAAGCAATGACGGGTTCAGTGTCTTTCCCAGGGACACTGCAACATGTTACTACTCGTGGAATTGAACCCCCAACTCTCCCATTAGAGGATGACTGCTCTAACCACTCAGCCACAGCCGCCCCGAAGAAGAAACATGATCACTGCTTCAAAAGGTCTTTAAACTTTATAACATACAAATAACAATGAACGTTGCTCACCTTGAGGAATGTCTGCTTTCTGTTTTAAAGGAATACAAGAAAATAGGTTCAACGACTCTTCATTTATTGTAAATATACATTTTAACTACAGAGGCTTAAAATTACAGGGAATTGTTTCCAATCTTTTGTACTTACCACATTCTGGACTGAGCTGAACAGCAGCATCAACAAGAGCCCACAATATCCAAGAAGAACGTTCATGCTGACCTGAGTTCAAGAGACAATTGTCTCAGTGGGCATTCATTAAAACATCAGTCAATATTTTAAAGAAAAATAAGCACAAGACGTTTTACTGGTGAATGTTACTTCCACATTATAACATAGCAGATGAGCCTCACACACGACTCACAAAAGAAAGAAACTAAACAGAACTTATTCAGCTTTAGTCAGCGTCAGACACATACCTGCATGTTTGATGAATCCTGGACCCCCGATGAAGCTCCTGGACAGAAGCAGCTCCTTTTTAAAGCCCTTGCACACCCATCACTCAGTCATTATGAATTCCGTCATTCCCGTTAGGTCAGACTGATGAATATCTGAACAACATAAATTATCTTAACTATCCTCCCAGTATAGCCTTAAACACATTTAGCAAGGTTGGCTTTTATTCATAAGAATGACCAAAACCAACATTCCAAGGCTGATCCGAAACTGTGACAAGCAGTACACCCATGTCCCCCGTCGCAGAGGGATTTGAATTGTGAATGTTTTGTAGTTTCAAGATGAGTGTTTTTATAGACTGTAATAAAACAAGGACTGCCAGTACACTTTAATGTTTTTTGGTGCAAGATATTTAAATGTGTAGAAGTCACACTGTAGAGAAGACGAGAGTTTTTTTCTTGTTTGAGGCAGTGCAGAGTGACGGATACTGAAGAGTGAAGGGAATCATTTTATTCAAGGCTAAGCCAATGGTGCCTTTGGCCACAATAAATAAGTCTAACCACCTCACTTATTTGAGGAAACTATACTTTTAAACAATATAAAAATTACAAGGCAGTTTCCTCAAATAATTGGGGTGACCAGTTTACATTATGGTGGTGGCCACCTTGGATTTTGATATGACAACCCAATTTTTGACATGGACCTTTCTTATGGCTAAATGCAAACACAAACCAAAATGGAAGTTGGCACCTCACCTATTTTTCGAGTTATCGTGCTCACAAGACAGAAGTATGGAAACTATTTCCGATTCTCCCTTTTCGCTTCATGACACGGGACAAAAACATGCTGTTTGTAGAAATCTAATACAGCACTACAATACTTAAATATCAGAAATGTAATGTAAAATTTTAATGTCTACATATGCTTGTGCAACCACGCTTGATGAATTAAAGGTCTAGCACTAACGACTTTCCACTATTACCACACCACATTTGAGCTTAATATCAGTAAAAAAAATCAATAGGTCGTAGCAATTTTTACGTTAACTAAGTTCTATTACCTGTGGTAACAATTTTCATTCACAGCTTCTCCCTCATTTCTAGCGTCTGAAAAAGACCAAACAAAAGCTGGACTCGTTGAAAACAAGAGTTGTGAGAACAGGCGGGTAGCAGAGTTGCACTAATTTAAATGCTCAACCTGTTGGTCTTGCGTGCTGAGCTGAGAAAGCCTTATCTAAAGGGAAAGGTCGTGGGACGACGCCATGAAACACAACAGTCAAAATACAGGGGGGGTCAAGATTCGGAACAGAATTTATTTATTTATTGACCTTTACTTAACCAAGCAAATCCCATTGAGATCACAGATCTCTTTTGCAAGGGAGGCCTGGGCTTAAAGGCAGCCTAGCATGCATGTTTTTGGTCTGTGGGAAGAAACCGGAGTACCCGGAGAAAACCCACGCATGCATGAGAAGAACATGCAAACTCCACACAGAAAGACCCCAGGTCCAACCGGGGATTGAACCCAGGACCTTCTTGCTCTGCGGCAACAGTGCTAACCACTGAGCCATCGTGCTGCCAGAAACTCATGAATGAATTAGAACTGTGTGTTGTGAGCAGTGGTGGGATGTAACTAAGTACAAATACTTCGTTACTGTACTTAAGTACATTTTTCATGTATCTGTATTTTACTTAAGTAGAGTTAAATGTGGGCACTTTATACTTTTACTTCACTACATTTTACACCAAGTATCTGTACTTTCTACTACACTACATTTCTATAATGTGTTGCATTACAAGTTACATTCATGTTGCGGCTTTTTGATTTGTTTGTTACTTTGAAAGTAACCGATGGTGAGAGGGGAGCTGGTCCATTGAATCACTGCAAAGTGGGCAGGTAACGTTAGGCCCGCCTTCAAGAAGAGCTGGGCCAATGACATATATTCTAGTACTTTGTATATATGTCACTGAGCTGGGAGCACCCACAGCACCACTAACACACCCAAAATGTATTCCACTGCTAGAGAGTCAGCCAGAAGATGCGCTCCACCCATGGCCTTATTGAAAGACTGCTCAGTAACAACAGGACAGATTCTCTCTCCCAAAAGAGCCAGACTGGACTCAAAAATCTTTGAAAACCAACTTCTTCTGAACTTGAACAAGAACTTCTTGCTGCAATATTAAAATGTGTCAGTTCATGGATGTTAGGAGACAAGACATGTCTCCAAATGGCTCGACACTCAGGTCCAAGTTTTAAAAAAAGTGTCAGGAAGTTAAAATATTGTTCAATATTGACCCATTACAAGGTTGAATAGACAGTATTTTAACTAGAGCTGATGACAAACTGAAGTTGAAATATCAGTGGAAATGATCAGAGCCTGTTCCTTTGTTGGTTGTGTCTAATGCTCCTTTTGTTCAGGCAGAAAACTTTTACTTAAATGTGTTCACTGCAGTTAAAATGACACATTGGTTTTGCTCTGTGTTAAATAAAAACTTTCAAAGGTAAAATCATTCCTCATTCTTATTTTGATTAATGGCATTTAACTCTGCAGGTCATCCCTGAAATTCTGACACAGAATCACAAGTCCAAGTGTGAACTGTGTCACAGAGTAAACACAATAAAAACATGTATTATCTGCAGCATTGTTCATTAAAATGGCTCAACACTGTTAATGTATTACAGAAAATATACATATGGTAGGCAGACTTAAAGATATGTAGACCATTGCATTGTGTAATACATTCAGCAAGTACTCTACTTTTAATACTTTAAGTATTTTAAAAGCAAGTACTTATTTACTTTTATTTAAGTAAAAATGTCAATGTGGTACTTCTACTTTTACTAGAGTACATTTTTGTCTGTTTATTTGTACTTTTACTTAAGTACAGTGTTTGAGTTCTTTCTCCACCAGTGGTTGTGAGTGTGATAACTTAGAAAAATAAGTGAGGTGCCTACTACCATTTTGGCGTGTGGCTGCATCCAGTCGTAAAAAAAGTTCAAGATGGCTGCCACATATACGTAAACCGGTCATCCCTATAATTTGAAGAAACAATGCTTCTATTTTGGTTAAAATACAGTTTCCTCGTGTGATTGAGGTAGCCGGCTTGGGGTGGCAGAAGATTAATCTGGCTCCTCCATTACATTTGGTTGTAGATATAATTGCTCCCTCCACTTGCCAGGATCCGGGGCTCCGTATTCTAAAGAATAGAATTTTTAAGAAAATCCAAAGCAAATTGCCAAATTTTTGCCGTTAATAATTCAGAAACCAAAGACAATGTCTGACCCGCTAATTTTCATGCACCGAGACTGCTACTGGATACATGTTTTAGATTTAAGGAGTGGGCAATGGTTGACAATAAGTTCCAGTTTAGGTCAGAGAACTTTACATGGGACAATTAAGAATGAAATATTATTTTATAAGGGAGTTGTTAAATGCAGGAGAGCCAGAATAACTCCAGAGGACAGAAATAAACTGTAAATATTCTGAACCATGCTTGTTTGGGACGGGACAGAAAGAAGAGATGTGAACAAACATCATGAAACAGAGGAGCTGACCTCAAGCATTAACTGTCCTGCCCTGCCAGTTTCACAACCATTTGGCCTATCTGATCAAATTATCTGATTTGTATTCACAGGTAACTACAATAACAGGTGTTTAAACATAGTTTCTGTTTTTTCCCCTTCATTTTTATCTTCTGTCTATGGCTTCCACCTGAAGCCTTCACTACAAAGCAGGCTGAACACACCCGAGGTATTTTTAGGAGATCTGGATTAACTCAAATTATTCCAAAACAGAAACCAAAACTGGCTGAGTTAAAGTCATTTTTTCATAGGCTAAGATTGATTAACTCTGGCAGCCATCTTGAATTCATTAGTTTTAGACGTAAAATGTTACTTTCTGAATTTTATTCAAATTTGTCCAGTGGTTTATGAGATATTTGCTAACAGACAAACAGGATTGAATCCAATGGGCAATTCCAAAATTTTGAAGTAAAACTTTGCACCATTTATTACACTGAATGTGTGTTGGGGAGGATGCTCAGCTACCACACCAGCTGTTTGCTCAATATCTGTAAAACTGACTTGGCTCTAGCTATTTTTGTGTTTTCTAATGTCAGTTGGCTGTGGCAGCCATCTTTAAATTGGACTGACCAGTAACTAATCACTTTTATCAAGAAAACTCATGGACCACAGTGTGAGCTTAAATGAGTCTTTCAGCAAGTAATCACTAGACGTTCATCTACAACTGATTACCTTTTCAAGCCAACCCATTTCAAGATGGTTTCCACAGCCAATCCACTTCAAATAACTCAAAAGTTTATAACTTAATCAAATGTATTAAAATCAAGCTAAAAAGCGGTGTGGTAGTAGCTGAGACCATTTCCAACACATTCTCCGAGCGCTAACAATCCATGTAAAATGACAAAAGATGGTGCCGAGCTTTATTTTCAAGTTTTGACCGAAAATAATATGCTGCATTTATGGAGAACAATTAATTTTTTTAAACAGGGATGTATGATATTATCAGCATGGTATTGGTATCGTCCAATATTAACGATAAAGTTAAAAATCGGACATTGGCCTTTCCATCAAAATAACTCACCGATATAAAAGA